CTTCAAGTGCAGCTCGGGCGCCGTACTTCACTTGCAGCATGTCCTGCATCACGTAGCTCACTGCCTCCAGCGCGTGCAGCACCACGCCGTGCTGACGATCCTCCTGGCCGCAAGACAGTGCCGGGGAGAAAACAATGCTGGAAGTATTCGCGCACGTCTCAAGATCATTGCTGTATGTGTCTGTGTGTGCGTATAGAAAATAACTATGTACACCGCAACATGGTGTGATACCTTTATAGAATGAAGTCATACGTATGTGGAAAACTTAATTATATATCAATTCACCAATTGTCTCTCACGATGTGTATAATATAGCTGTCAAGTGCTCTGCTTGACTTCTTTGCTTTAAACCATAGGATGCGGAAGCTGCCAATGTTCCAAGCCATGTCGACAGCTCCCATTTGGGCTTTCTGCTTGTTTGGCCGATGTATGGGGAGGAATGTACATTGAAACCAAAAACCGCCCACCGTAAGGGGCGATACATTTTCTCCAAGCCGATCTTCTACCTTCTGATGTTCTGGGCCCTTAGGGGCCCCGCGCTCGCAACCCGAGTCGACGTCGGACTCCGACGGACCCCGGATTCGCCTGCAGGGCGTCCTGGATGCCTCCGAAGGCCTCGCTCAAGCGGAGGTCCGACATCCGCCGAGCGCCGCAGTTCCGGCAGAAGACCAGGTCCATGAGCCTCGAAGTCGGAACGGAGATTGCTGTCTCTCTTTTTGCGGTTACCCTTTGGGAGTTTTGAGAAGAAGGGGTTCCCTGTGATTCCTGTGTTGGAGTTGATAACCTTTTTGAGCGTATTTCAATTGACAGCCAAGGGAAACGGCGGCTCCAGCTTCACCACGGACGACTGCTTTGTGGACTTTGGCTTGACATGGGAAAAAGGAGGCGTTGGGGACTGGCCTCGATGTGCTTCCATTTCGCAGTCCCCTCCCCATGTTTGGATATATGTAAACCCAATTCGTTGACGGGGAAGATTCTGAAACTGGGACTCAAGGATTTAGTTTAAGTGTTCTTGTTGTCATTTCCTGTACAAACAAAAGCTGGATCCCGAGCTTAGGACAATGAACTCGCTGATGGTTGGGATGGGCATGCCTAACCCCAGCGAACTCAAACTAGTATCTGGATTTCCGGAGAGTTCTACCCGCCCCAACGACGATCCTTAAATAACGTCTCGCAAGCAGGGGACCTGGATGTGTTTCTTTTCTGAACGAAAGGGCCACTTCATTGCTTGGAATGGAACACCAGAAGGAGCACACATTAGCTTCCTTGACATTTGCTCGGGTTCCACTGACCAGCAACAACGGACACCATGCATTTCGCATCTCTAACATTCTGTTCCACCAGTGTTGTGACTGTTGCAGGAACAAGTCAAACAGGCGAGTTGCATGGTTGCATAATAAAAGTGCGCAAAATTATTTCCTGCTATGGGTGGGCAGATGGGCCAAACCAAGTGAAAGCCGTTTGAAGAGTGTGTTTCTCTCCAATGTGTTGTTGCAACAAAGCTGGCACATAATAACACGGCCCAATCATTGCCAGTAACCACACCCCTTTGTTTTACAATACGAGCACATCTGCAGAATTAAACGGTCCACACGCTTCCTCAGTTGATGCGCCCTAAAAAGTACAAACTGGTCGTTTCCGACTCAACCCCCAAAGAAACATCCGAACATGATCTTCCCGCCCATTTGGGTGTCTTTTCTTGCGGGCAACATTGTTAGTGGTTTGAAGGGGAAAAAACCAGAAGAAAAAACACAATTTTGAGGGTTCCCTCAAGAAAATGAGCTATCTCCAGAAATGAAAGGTGCAAACATGGAACATCTCTGGAGGCTTCGTTAAAGGGTCACCTTCGTGTTACAGGGGTTTTCACCTTGTTGTGGGCTTGGTGTCTAATGGTCGCCTTCGTTTGACAGGGTGTTTGGTCCTTGAGGCGAAGCATTTGGGGATCCTCACTAGGTCCTCCAACCCTTTTTTCTGTAGTCTATTTTAGTAGCGGAACCCTCCCCCCAAAAAAGGGGGGACCTAGCTCATTTGTTGAAACAAGAACTGGAAACAAGGGGGTTGACTCAAAGCGTAAGCCGTGGAGCAGGTGCCCGCACTTGGCGCACCGAGAGCTGGGGCCGTCTGAGTCACTGGAGCAGTTCCGGGCACGGGAGACCAGCAATCGCCTAGCGGCCAAGTTGGCCTTTGGATTCAACCCTAAACCCAGGATTTAGATGTAAAGGGGAGATATATGGCCGGTCCCCCCAGAGAACATATCCCAATCCCCAATAAAATAGACAAAAATGGACCTACCCCAAAATGGTAGCATTGGCTTTTGACCCACAGCTATACAAGATGGTACCAAACGTTGACCCTGTCCGCCCCCCCCCCCCCCCCACAAAAATGGGTGGTTTCCTTTTTGCATCTAAAACTCTATCTTCCATTTGCCTAAGTCCACAGGAAAAACAATCAATTCCAGTAGTGATAGATTCCCTTTAAACCCACAGGGGCAAATAACAAATATTCATTCAGCAAACGGAAGCTACTTTCAAAAAACAATTCGATTGGGGTGGGGTTGTGAAACCAAATTGAGCCATCATAGGAGCAGCATATTAGCAATGCAGCCTCTCAGGTTTCACTTCCCTGAGCCAGCGCCTCGAGATAAAACAAATCGATTGTGTTGGTATGAGAAAACCGATGCGCACGAAACCTCAAAGCAGTTCAGCAACCCGAAAATAACCCTCAGATAGCTCTCTCATCCGGCTTCGACTTTGCGTGTAAGGTCCATGTGAATTTCCTCGTGCTGAGATCGCAAGTTCCTCGCGGCTAGTCCTTTACATTTACATGGCTTGGTGTCCTGGCGGTATCAAACAAGCTAGTCGCGGTGCCCAACACTCAAAACTCCCCCCTTCTCCAAGATTCTTGTAAACTGGCTGCTCATTGCTATGTCAAGCCTTCTTTCCCATTCTCAAACTCTCGAACACCGAACGGCCTGATTTACACACACACACACACCCCAAGCGAAGCTTGAGCAACCAAGGCCAACTCGTGCCTATGCCGCGATAGTTGGGCATTTCGCATTCCTGAAGAAGTATCTATGGACCAGCGCTTTGTAGGACGCTCGACAGAAACACCTAGGTTGACAAGCTAGTTGTCGTTTTTGGTATGTGCTATCGTTCTTGAAGACGTTTGATGTATGCTGTTGCGCATGTTGGCATGTCATGTCCTCCCCGCTCATAACATGAACAAATTGGAGAAGAACATCCCGGTACATTGCGCGATGCCACACAACAATCGCCATCGGAAACAGCTCTTGAACTCTTGACTTCATCTTTCCCTGTTCCTGGCCGTTGCAAATAGTGTGTTTTTCCACGACTCCCACACTTCAACATGGAGTCTCTGCACACAAGTGCAGCAGAGCGTCCCCTATGGTGAGCACAACATGCGTGGTATGCTAGTAACATTTCCGGTGCTGGTGCGTGTTGCTGCTGATGTCTCAAGGCTACTCAGCTGGGCTGCAGAGGAAAAGGTCGAGCCACGAAGAGAAAAACAAACAGCCAGGACGAGGGCATACCGTGGATGGGCGAAATCCGTTCGCACCACTTTAAAGCCGTGATTGACACCGATTGCTGGTATTTACACGGGAATCATCAGAAACCTGGTGAATGATTTCGCATCAGCTAAGGATCAGCTCCCCTTTGAAACAGCTAATGTCCACAATCGAAGCACTGGGAAAGCCAAGGCGCAAGCCTATCGAGCCGCAACCGGGAGACACGATCTGCAGTCTAACCAGGCAAACAATATGGCTTTCCCTTATCATGCCATAGAGTCACTTGCATCCAACCACCTTGCATTTTCTCCTGGAATCTGTCACCCAAGCTATGATAACAAGCAGCATCGTTGAGGTCTTTTTGTCACTTCAAGTAGCGACAAATCTGGAAACCCGCTTGAGCAACTATTCTTGACAGCCGGCAATTCCTGTTCAAACTGAAAGGACGCAATGCTGGCATCGTGATGCCGTGCCAACCCAAACCTTCAATCAAACCTTCAATCAGATTCTGAAATTGCCCCGCCCTGGGACCCAAATCGCCTTGATTGATCCCCTGGCCCCGCGCACCCTGCCTGTTCCTTGGAAGGAAGGCAGGCGATCCCGCCGGCAGGCGGTCATTGCGGGAGCTACGCGTCAGCGTCGGACTGTCGTCCATGGCAAGCCGCGAGGGCCCAGTGAGGGCCAGACTCTTTCCACTTCGGTCGCATCTGCCGTCCGTGTTTGTCTCACCAATTCACTGTCCGAATGCTGTGGTGTGGATGCGATCTTGAAGTCTTTTGTCAAAGATTGGGGCAGGAAGTTGGTGAATGTTTGGCTTCTGGGGCAGGCTAGGCTTCCAGCATCGAACAATACTGTTGACCGTGCTATCAACTTCTGGTCATGAACACTGAGTCCAAAAATATGACAAAGGATTCTCCATATCATCAAGTGACAATCCTAACATGCTCCCGACATTGCCTGAAGCTTGTCAATCTTTAATTCTTGTTCCCACGCCGGAGCCAATGTGTGACGAACCCGCAGTGGCCGGGCCTCACATCCGGCGGACGACTACTCAGGCAATGGGCGTAGTGGCTGCCCGTCCCATGCATTTGATCCCAAGCACAGGTGTCTCTTTTTTGAGAGTACCCTTTTTGGCGTTTAACAGGGAAAAGGGAAAACCACCGGTTTGGGGGTCCCCTAAAAAAAGACACACCCACATGCTAATCAGACCTACCTCAAGGAGAAAGGCTAGATTCGCTGATGCGCCACCATCTAAGCACAACACAATCAAATGTCAAAGGGACCCATCCACTTTCTTGATATAGGTGGGCCTTTCGCCATCCCCTTGCCAGGAGCAAAACTTGCGTGAACATGTCTTGCGTGATTCCGAGCTATCTTTTGGACACAAGCGGGCATGTGTTTCGCACTTGGGTCCCCAGACCTGCAAGAACGCACAAGTCCCACTCACTCCCACACGCGTTGCGCGGATCTCCTCCAGGACAAGAACCAAATCGGCAGCCTGGGATGAGGGCAGCTCAAACGACACCCAGCGTGATGGGCAAAAACCTGCCTTGACTGGCCTCGTTACGTTACCATGGTCAACCCCCTAAGTGGTGGGTTAAAGGGAAACCACCCCCATTTCTGACTTTGATAACCCCCAGAAACCGTCAAAAGAATGACCCCTGCTTGACCCCTGCCAAATGTCCGAGTGAGGGGCCTGCGGAGGGGGTGTAGTCGAACGATTGCAATTCCACGCGAATTGCAGAGACGCTAGCGGACCCCCCACAGCTATCCTGACATTCGTGGCCCAGCTTGCCTTTTGCCAATACCCACCCACCTGCTGCTTGGAATGCGTTTGGGATGTGGGTGGTTCCTCACATCGCTGGGGCATCCTTTGCAAACGCTAGATTTTACTTGACAAGCAGCGCACAAGGAATGCAAAACTTGACTGATGACTGGAGATCCAATTCCAGTAAACCTACAGAGCCAGTCAGCGTGACCTGCTCCTCACAGTCAAAAGTTAATTTACTTTACTTTGAACAGTCCTCATCTAAAACACTTGCTTTGCTGCAGACTGAATCAGAGATGGGAGCTGGCCAAAAAAGGGATAGCTCCACAGCGCTCTGTCCCCACACGAAAGGCATCGCCAGTACGGGTCGGATGTCACTTGAAATCTAAGAAAATAAGTCCAGGTACTATCCCCAACAGCCCTGGAACCTCGTGGAACCCTCCAGAACCCTCCCTGAAAGCTGCCCCAAACCACCCCTTCTCGCCTCTCTGGGCCTATCCACAGCTTTCAGCTGGGGAAAATACCGTCGGGTCCGGAAAAGGGGGCGCCGGGGACTCCCACCTTCTGCCCCTTTGCTGCTAAGAACCAGGGATTTGTTCGAAGCGATCGCGGCCCCGGGCCGTTCTTCTCAAGAAGTATGATACAGAGCCGTCACCCCATTGACTGGAACCCGGAGTGACGCGACAAGAGCGGCCGAACCGTCATGTCTTGGTGCATACGCCATCTTGGCGCTTCTCAATTTCTGACTTCCTGAGCGGATTGCCCGGAAAAGTAGTTTTTTTACCACCAAAACGATACTCCCAAAAAGCTTCAAGTCTGAAACGGAACTCAGGGAGTGGACCATAGGGGTCAGCTAAAGTGGTTGGCTTTTGTAAACAGCTTCCTTTTGGGTTTCCCTTAAGACCCCCCCCGGGTCAAATGGCATGCGCGCTTTCGCGAGCTCGGGCCCCAGCTTTGGCCAGTTGAGCTGAAGAGGTGGTGAAAACCACGGCGCTTTGCTTCAGCAGTCCTCCCCCGCTCAGAATGAACAGGGTCACGCTTGCCCCTAGAGCGGTGTTTGAACATTACCATTTTTTGGCCAAGTTGGTGTCTTTCTCCTGGAATTTGGGCCGATGTTCTAAACCCACCTAGAAGAAAACGGCGTATATGAACAACGACCAAAGGGTGAACCAAATATGTCTTTCCAGTACCACACCAAAATGCCACCTGCACATGTCATTGCGCAGCGAATCGAGTTGTGGGTCTGCGGTGAATCAATAGTCTTACCCTCTGCTTGCAGACAGGGGGCACCAAATCTCTGAATTTGTGACAAGCTGGAAGCCACCAAAGCCACCAAAGTCAGCAGTGGATGAAACTTGGCCGCAAGCAAAAGCCAGGAGAAGCACTATACTGATGGTGTCAAAAGCAAAGATTGCCAAGCTGTCCATGGCAATCAACTCACGCTGCCATCTGCAAAGGTCTTCAACCTGATCCACCAGTGCACTCCGATTGCGGACCTGGGGACATTCCCCACGAGGACCCGGACATTGATTTAGGAAGGTCGTTTCTGTTGGCGTCCGACCACGAACAATGGACACGTTCCATCTTGGATACTCAGATTGCTCTTTGTTGATCTGTAAAACCGAAAACACAAAACAACACAGGTTGAAGCGCTGCAAAATCAAACCCATCCGAACCTTCCCTGTTGCGCTTGTCTCTACGATCCTCCAAACTTGGATCCCCAACGCGTGAGTTGTTGATTTTGACAAAGATGGCTAGCTACCCTCTTACAGAACTCCGATCGGTAGCTCCGAGAGGCTCCCTCTGAAAAAAACGGCAACATGGGATACTTTCCTCCATTTGCTTAAGTCCCCTGGAAAATAATATACATATATATATATATATTTCCAGTAGTGATAAATTCCCTTTAAAACCAACAGGGGACAATAAAACATATTCTTAGGCAAATGGGATACTTTCAGCTCCTCAGCTCTCTCCCAAAAACCAGACAACCACCGAAGGCTCGGGTCCTCGAATGGCGTGGTGCCAAACAAGGGAACCTCAGAGCCGACCGCCGAGTCAGATCGACACGACGTGGTGGGCAGAATGTGCAGCAACGTGGCGCAAAATTGGTTGGGCCCTTTTTCGGGACCACCTTTTGAAGGAAACCAAAATTTGGAAGTAGGTGTCCCCCATTTTCACGCATGACCATATTTGTCGAAATATTGGGGGGTGGTTGGGGGGGAATCGATAGACACAAGGTGGTGCTGGGAGGACCTGAGCAATATCCTGTATCACTACGTGACCACAACCATGCAAATGGATGCGCAATTGAATTCGCTCCCATCCAAACACACGACAAACATGGTCACCCGGTCAATATCATCACCACCATGATTGATTACCGCCATCCTCCTCCTCATCATCATCATATATAGAAGAGAGAGAGAGAGAGAGAGACAAACAGAACAGAAGAAAAACAACAAAATAATCAACCTGGATTGACACAGGCCTTGTTTGTACCATGCTCCAAGCGCACTCAAGTAAGCCGACGATTGAGAAACGGGCTGACAAGTCTCCTTACGTTGTGCATCACATTGCAACTCAAGTTAGTTTCAAGGAACCTGTGCATTTGTTGACTGACACTTGATGAAAATCCAAGTTGCAATTATCTCCCCATTTAATCTGCAAAGGCCTGTACTGCACAGCCATTGCATTCACGCTCTGCACCCCCGGATTCGCCCCCCTTGCCAAACTTGAGTTCCGTTCGACGCCTATCCCTCACCCACATTGGGTCCGCCGGCAGGTAGGAGGATCAAGGCTCGCAAAAGGGTCATCCTGGCATGCGAGGTCTCAAATACCTCGCGGATTGAACATTTCGACATGGTGTCCCAACATCTACTCAGGGGAGACGCTTCAACAGCAAGGTTAAAATAGTCTTCCCCAAAAAGCAACCAACTCTCCAGAAAGCTGGATATGATGGCAGCGGTCGGGCTACATTTGGTCACTCGCGAACCATACCCTTGCATAGTGACAGCGACACGGATCCACTGGGCCTGAACCATAATCAAACAAAGGGTCCGTATTTTGGTCCGTTTTTTGGTCCGTTGTCTTTATTCTTCGTTGTTTCTTTATATGTGTATATATATATATATTTAATATATATATATGTATATATATATATACAAATATATATATATATAAACTTATGTACACATATATATATATATATTTATTTATATATGGTCCCGTGTTCCGTGTTGCTACCCCCCCCCCCCATATGGTATGGTCCCCCAGGACCCCCCCCCGGCCCGAGACCCCGAGCCCGCGGATCCTGGCACCTACGGTCCCACCCCCACCCCGACCCCCTGAACTCGCACCCCGACACCCCGGCACCCCCACCCCCAGGACAAGCCAACCCGCAACCAACCATAAACCAACCCTAAACTAACCCTAAACCAACCCTAAATACACCCTAAACCAAACCCTAAACCGACCGTACACCTCTGAACCTAAACCAACCCTAAACCAACCCTAAATCAACCTAAATCAACCCTGAACCAACCCTAAACTAACCCTAAATACACCCTAAATATACCCTAAACCAATTCTAAACCAACCCTAAACCACCACAACCCAACCACAGGACCACAACCACAGGGGGGGGGGGGGGTACTTGCCTGACCCATGACATTTGGGGGGGGGGGGGGGCTGGCAACGCTGTACCATATATATATACACATATATACAAACATGTATTTATATATATATATATATAATCAAACAAAGCGTCTGTCCATGTGCATTTGTTCTTCTTTGTTGTTGTCGTGTATATATTATATATAATCCGTCGTGGGTAGCTAAGCTTGCAGCTCTGGACATCACTCTCCCGCAGCTTTCCTAAAGCATGGCAGCAGCGCCAGCAAGCACAGCTCAGGGTGGCCATAAAGGGCGCGGGCGATGCCAACTCGCACGCGCTGGCCGCCTCGGCAAAATTACCCATGTCCGCATCCACGCGCACGGTCGCCTGTTGTATTGATGCCCAAATGTGTGCAAAAATTAGAAGCATATCGTTGCGTGTATACAAATAAGTGTAACATGTAATTTAGTGTGTAAACATGCAACGTGGTATGTCTACATACTCACAAGATGACAAGAAGATGACACTGTCGCTGCCATATCGTTGCCGAGGAAACAAATCCGTTGCTGATGTTCAACTATGAGGAACGATGTCTGTCAAGACAAGAGAGGCCCTATCCTGAACCTTTCAAGGCCCTGCCTCGATCCAATTCGTGCGCACATTCGCACGAATACGGATGGATTGTCCACATGGGGATCACCCGCTACGAGGATGTTCGTTGGATGTCAGAACATGCGGATGTCAGAGACCAGGACATGGATCACATGACGTAGAGTCTTTGGGATTCACACTTTGGGATTTGCATGTCATGCTTGTCCTTTCCATGGACCCGCAAAGGTGTCGTTAGCTTTGACACACCACTCAAGTTCTATCCTACAAATATGGGTGTCTTTTTTAGGGGACCCCCACAAAATGGTGGTTTTCTTTTGGTGTTCTTCTAATACCAACAAAAAAGGGGGTTCCCTCAAAGAGGACGAGCCCTATGTACAAGGACGACACCGACAAGGAAACCCGGTGACAAATCTCAGGCTAGCCTAGTCAGAGACCGATGCCATTCCTCGCAAGTTGAGCGGGCCCGGCCAGAAAGTTTGGGAACTTGGGGTGCTCGGTCGCCAGCCTTGGATGCGGACCATCAAGCAAGCGTCTCAAGGTTTGACGAAAGGTTTGGTACGATTTGGAGAAAGGTCTAACACATGAGGACTCGATTTGGCGGGGTTCTGTTGGTGCTGGATGGCAAGACTGGTCCCCAGCATGGTTGCCTTCTTGCTTAGCTGAAGTGCAGTGAATCATACCCAAAATGAATCCGGAAAAGAAATGAAGTCAAACCTCTCACTGAACATCGTTCAAACAAGAAGACAACAACTAGGCTGCGCAGCTCTGACCGTCTAGTTCCTGTTCGAGATTTAGCATAAGTGCTTCAGGCAATGCCACTGTGCGGATTTCCGCGGGTGATTGATGTGAGAACTCAGCTTCAGTTAGAACCAAAACAACAATCATATTGCAGCTAAGCACGAAAGATTAGAGCATCAAACGCTCTGCAAACTGCACAATGCTGTGGATTAGCCTCAGCGCCATGTAACTATTTGGCCCAATTGATGCCAGCTTCACATTGCAGGGCAACACATATGGTTACATGCCATCTCAAAGGTTTGAGGCCTTTGATGGCTGCCTTTCACTATTTAGACATACCCACATGGGTGGCTCAAATGTTTTTGGCTTGTTGGACCCTCCGCAAGAATGTGCATATTAATATGGCTGATGCCCGATTCACGCCATTGCACACGACGTCTGGCCGTCATCACCTGCCTTACACTAAGTGTCAGGTAGGATGAAACAATGTGCTGCATCTCAAGCAATCATATCCGGATGACTGCCTGTTCACGCCAAGAAGTATAAGACAAATATCTATACACACATGGCCAATAGAAAAACATAATGCTTTGTAGCCTTTGCTTGCTTTTTCGACCGCTTGTCTTGTTGCCACCCCACTGAACATCCGAAGCCATCAATGGCGAAGTCGTGAAGCTCTGAGCTGCCGACACCCTCCTGCCAGGTGTTGAACAAACATCGTCAAGGTTGCCGAGTGGCCATGGGCAAAACATGGCGTCCTGTGTGGCATCCTTCCCAAAAGAGAAAAAGGGGCCCGCTGGGTAACTGGGTTGACCCAACAAAAAGAAAACGAGAAGAACCATTCAGTCCCAAGTAGGTTCTTTGGTTTCCTTAGTCTTGGAAGAGTAATCCAGCTTTTCAATCAAGCACATGTCTCTCAAATCCCGCCAGTAACATTACGTAGCAAGCGTCTTGGTCGGCAACCCAGGTTGGTTTTCCGTGAAACCGGAAGGACAACCCACCGTCCCCCTATTTTGACCCCTACCCACCACTTGCCCCGCCCCTCTCAAGCAAGGCTGACAAGTGCTTGGTTGACGTTGGAAGGGTAGCAACAAATCAAATTTTAGCAGTTAAGTGGTTGGATTTCAGCCACTAAACCACAACAAGCAAAGGTGTAAAATGTTTCCCAAGAACAACTGGGATTCTTACACTATACACCTGAACATTGCCTTGTAAATGGTGGTTTCCCTTTATTTTGCTGGAAAAAGCCATGTTTCAAATGGGCAAAGTGAATCTTTTAAGGAGCCCTGAAAAGCCATGGGTGGTAGACATGACTCACTTCGGCCGCTCGCCTGGGCCAAGTCTTGCAGCCCGCAGGAGCGCAATGCGGCCATGTAGCGGTGGGCCACATAGGGCCTGGTGCGGGGCTGAAAATTCGGCTGGTGCCTGGTTCGGGCCGCGGCCTTTGATATTTTCTCCGGTCTTTTTGAGGTCTCAAAAACACAAGTTGCATTGAGTTGTTTTACATGTACCCCGATGTTTTGTTGTTCACATGTGCGGCTCCTTTCGTTGTTTGTATGGCTGACATCTTAGCGTTGCTTGCCCCATTGGCTCGTACGAATGTATGCTACTGGCACTGCACATGTGTGGGGCGGGACGACTCTTGTTGCTTAATCCCTTCTTCCTAATGCTAAACAGTCCCCTAATACTAAAACCGACTTTTGAAAACCCCAAATCCGAGAATACTACTTTTAGAATAGCCAATACTAAACCAATTCTGACGTAGGTATTTTCCCGCCCTTGCCCAAATCCAGCGCTATTAGGGGGACCCGCGAGTACGTGTTGTTTACTACAACTGTACTACAAAGTTGCGACTTTTGAGCCGGAGCTCCGGGAGTACGTTTTGTTTACTGCGGCTGTACTACAAAGTTGCGACTTTCGAGCCGGAGCTGCGGGAACAGGGGGACCCCTCAATGCTAAAACCGGTTTTTTCAGGGGGGACCCGCCTAGTATTGGGGGGGGGGGGTAAGCTTAGCATTAGGGGGAAGGGATTACTAGGCGGTTGATTTCCCGCTGCCAGGCCTTCAAGACGAGCAAAGGACATTTATGCAACCTGACGAGCTGATAATTCTTTCAGATTGCTGACAAAAATGCAAAGCCTTCCGCCATGTGGACATACACGTGCTCTATTCCAGAATCTTCATGTACCAAGTACCAACTTAATAATACATCTTGCTCAATGCTCAACTGAGCAGAACGATGCCCCGTTTTTAAACCCTTATCCGAAGGTTTTCCATGCTTCCATTGCCGTGCCAATCGTCGGTGTTCACACCGCAGAGCGATATGCACAAGGAGGGAAGCTGTTCTTGGAAGCACCTTGGGAACATCAGAGCACTTGCGCGGACTTGCGCGAAAAACATGTTTTCTGCTGAGCACCACGCTTTTTTCAAGGCGTGGCTTACTGCAGAAAAGCACTTCCAAGTGTTGCGACTTCAAGCGAGTGGTTGCTGCAGGCAAACCGACTGTTTTGACTGACTTTGCCGCGACTTGCGCTGGACTTGCGCTGGACTTGCGCCTCCGGCGCCAGCCCATGTTTGACTTACGCGTCTGGTCGCCCAGCACACTCCTGATCTTCAAATGAAATTCGGCGGTGCGGCAAATTTGTTCGGTCCAAGACACAGTACAATTATCCCTTGCATAAACACATACAACGGGCCTATTGTTTTGCAACTCACAACTCATTCGCTGAATGTATCTTATGCCAGAGTCTACAATAGCCTCTCTCTTGATGCTTTGACATTGATATCCTTTGCCTATGAACAACTCCCCACAGCTCGCATGCAACAAACCTTGGCAGTTCGTGCCAAGCCTTCGTTCCAACATGTCTAACCTATCGGTGCTGCCCACCGTTTGCCGGTAAATTGAACCAGGGTCTGGATGTTAAACACCGGTTGCATGCCGTGACTTTGGACTCGGCGCCTGCCAAACAGCACATTCTCCCGGACGGTGCCACGAATGAGGTGGGGCCTGGAAGTCTGGAAGCAAAGCGGAGCCGAGATCGATATTCATGCAGAAGTCAAAGCTGTTTGCCGCCTTCCCAACTCTTGCTGTGGCAAAAAAAACTGATTGTTTTGTTGCAGCCTACTAAAAATGAACTAAAACACATCAACACCAACAACCTGAAAAAAACATGCCAGCAACAGTCAAGCAAGCCAAGTGCATATCATACTCTGATGCTTGAGCTGCGAGAAGCAACACAAAGGACCCGCATGGCACTTGACTTCGGTTCGGCAAACAAAATGCTCACCACAATCGCTGAGCCTGTAACATTTGGTGAAACTCTGCAAACCTTGCAGCTGGATAGCCAAATATCAAACATAGCTAGCGCTGGTTTGGATCTTGTGTTGGCTGGTCGCTTGGCCCCAGGGCGAGATCGGACAGAGGTGAAGGACGGGTCACCAATTCAACTTGTTGGGGCCCCTGCAGGGTTCTGAGAAAGTTGACAGCAGTAGGTCCCCGGCTGCTGACCGCAATAGGCCACTGCTCCATTCACCTTTTTCGTTTTACCTTGGCGCGCGCGAGCGAGCGACATGCCGCATGTGGAGCGCTTGACCACAGTAAACAACACTGCCACGAGAAATCCTAGACCAAATTTGGACAACGAACACATTAAGGGTACTTTTACCTCTTCAGCCCTGAAGGGGCACCGCTGATTTAATTTGAACATTGAGACCATCCAGAGATGTCCCAAGTTGGACACACCATACAGTCAAGGGAAATTATGGCTTGCGTGTACGCGACCAACCATGCGGCTTCAAAAGAACACCCAGATGGGACCTGCACTTGTGAGAATCAAATTTCGCCAAACCATCTAACCGGAATCCTGAATGACATACCTTCAATTTACTCAGAGACATGGCCGGTGGCCAGCACGCGGAAAGGGGCGCAACACATCCAACGAGCAGTGGTGAAGGGAATGGATGGGAAGCCGGGGACTCCTCAGCTTGAATACCCCAGGTTCGCTTGACGCTTCAATTTGCTCTACCGTCTCATGATTCCACAGCCACACACCCGGCATCTGAGTTCTCCTCTGAAGGATCCTGGGCTTGGTTTCCAACTTGGTTTCAGGGGGTAGGACAACATATTTGTGTGTCTTCGCCTTGCAGTCCAAAACTACGTGTACAGCAGGTGATCCACGGGGCCTTCCCGAACTTCTAGATGTCAAGCTTGTCAAACCGGAACATCTGTACTCGGAAAGGCAAGCGCCGTCGGTCAATCGGCCGCAGCTCGCGCCAAGGTGCCAGGAACCAAAGAGCGCCCTGCTATGCAGGGAACTTCGTTCAGAAGTGCCATAAGCAGAGTGGTCTTGCCGCTGCCTGCCAGGAGCAAGGAAACAAACGGGTCAGCAAGTAGGAAGAGCATTGATGCTGGTGCCCGCAAAACAACGTGAAAGAAGATACCCGCTGCGTGCGAGGTGACAAATCAAGCAATGTACATGAACACGGAGGCCGGTTTAAAAGGCTGCCTGCGCATGTGCTTCGGTCCCTGAAAATTAAACTCTCACGTCAGCCAGTTAAATCAGAGACCAAATCAAAGCTCGTGCCTTCCAGCTTGTACTTTCTGATCCAAGCTCTTCGTGTGCGCTACGTTCTTTCCGCTGCAGAGACGCCACATGGGTGTGTCGTTTTTCAATCAATACCCCAAAATGGCGGTTTTCCTTTTATTGGTTGCCCCATAAGATATAAAACCACGAACAGCGGGGTGCTCGCGAGAAGCGACACACTCAACAAGGGCAACGCCTGGCTTCCTGGAATCCCAAACAGCCACTTTTTCGCGCCTGCGCCACCGAGAACAGCCATGAGCTGGCCAGGCCGCAAGGAGAGGTTGATGCCTCAGCAGCAGGCTGATTCCCCCCTTCAGTGGTGGAAATTGATAATCGTCAGAGGAGCAAACCAAAACAAAAAAATCAATAATGTTCTGATGAGGCATTGCTGAGGGCAGACTGAAGTAGCTGCAAGGCAAGTGCAGGCGTGGTTGTCATGGTCGCCCGAGGTACCCAATCAACCACTGTTTGTTTATGGATCTTCTATTTGCGGCCGCCAAATAACGTCATGAAGGATCAGGACAGTTGACAATCGGCTGTGTGTTACTTGGCGCACAGCACTTGATCTGTGGGCGCTATGGGCGCTACAAGTAACGTCTTAGCGGAATTGGGAGAAGCTGAATCTAAACAATCATGCATGTGGCCTCGCTCAATGTGCATAAGCCTCTCGCACTATTCAGGAAATGAAGCGCTCCCCCCCCCAAGGCTCCCCCCAAAAAAAAGTTAAGGGTGGTTTAAGGATAGCCCTGGTGGCAAGGACAATTGAGCTTAATTGGGCTTAATTAGGCTTAATTAGGCCTAATTAGGCTTAATTAGGCTTAGTTGGCTAAAACCGCATTCTGCTAACTAAGATTAATTAAGCCTAGTTAAGCCTAGTTTAAGCTCAACCGAGCCTTCAGTCCAGACGCTGAAATGTGATTCTGTGACATACTGGGGATGGTCAGCGCAAGTGTGTCAGAATGGAAATCCCCCCCCCCCTCCCAACAACTTTCAGACGGTTTAAGTCATGTTTGGCTTAAAACGCCCTTAACATTTTGGGGGGGTACCACGAAATGTGTAAATAGCGTCATTTTGTGGTACCCCCCGAAAATATATAATTTGCCTCCCCCCCTGCCCTTCCCCCTGCCCTTCCCCCTGCCCTCCCCTTCACTTCCAGCCCCCCTCCCCCCCCCCCCGCCCGCGAAACTCACCGGGCTTCACAATACATTACTCCCGCCAAACAGGATTCTGGCAAATCTGTGGGCCAAGTCAGTCACAAATAGATCCCGTCGAGGCAAAACGTCGTCATCTCCAAATATCCATGAAAAAGCTCAAGTTCTCTTAACTTTTTGGCGGGGGGAGCCTTTGGGGGGGTAGCGTTTCATTTCCTGAACTATGCAGTATCCGCGCAGCATGAAACATGGAGTTTACATTGCCATAGTCATTTTCCATCAAGGTCGCACAGAAGCGTTGGCTTCTGAGGCAGCCACATCTCAGAATCGACTCGTCCTCCTCACGGGCTGCTGAAACTGATGCGTGACTTTACTGGTCAAACATCAGTCATTAACAATTCACTTCCAAAAGCAAATGAGGGATCTGTACACCAATTGATATAAGGCTTAATCAAACATTCTAAACTCACACGACCCAGATACGGTCCACGGGTGAGCGCGTTTTGCCGCCAGGTCAACTCGGAATGATTCAAATAAAGGAGTCGCTCGTGAGGCATCTGCGCTCGTCTGGGAACGAGGGCAAGTGCTGTACCATGCGGCATGACTGTCGGCCGGTTGTGCTTAAACTGGCAGCTCAAATCAGTGAAGATAGGGCATGAAGCTTGGACTGCACTGGCCATTGCCACCCAACAGGAATTGAGTAATGTTCATCGTATGCTCAGCACGGCAATCGCACAAATGAACGCTCAAATGGGCTGGCTGCGCCTGAACGTGTTGATGATGCCTCACCTCGGAGTGAACAGCGCTCTTGCAGATTCTGATCTTGTGCTGGCTAGAGGCTCTTGCAGCCTGAAAGCCCCAACCTTACGTGCCAGTCAGCCATGACTTGAGGTTGTGGAGCGCCCCAGGCGCGTACAGACCGAAACACAGACTGGCGCTCACCGATTCCGTTTCTGGGCCATCCTCATCCCCTGCTAAAAGTTCAACTTTTGGTGGCTCGAATGAACCCCCCCGCCACTAAACAGCTAAAAAGCTAAGGATGGCTGGGAACCACCAAGGTTTGGCTGACGGGCGCTGCCCTCAGTCTCCCACCGGATGGTTCATGCCCAGTTTCCTGAGCAAGGCGCAGCCCGTGGCGTGGGCGGAGTGGGGAGAGTTGATAGCTCCGGCCTCAGCACGTGCATTGGCCACGAGCAGCGAGCCAAAAGTGCACTGAAGCATCTTCAAGCCGCATCTTGAAATGGGCATGAGTTTCAATTAGGGACCCTTTCATGAACATCATTCAGGCGGGGGTTCATGTGCACACTTTCAAGAGGGTCTAAATGTCTGTGCATCAAGCCAAATCATGTGGCGTGCTCCCCCGAGCTTATGGATCAAGCTCGCAAGTGCAACTCTTCAGAGGAGTAACGTGACTCGAGCAAGGACGGGCGTGTTACTAGACATGTCTCACTGACACACCAAGTACCATCTCCGAACATTGATGCATTTTGGGAAAATTACACCCCAGGCGAAGGATCAGCTGAAAATTGTGCTCGGGAAAATGTTCGACTCATACAAGTGAGTTGGTGCTTGAACAAAAGCAAGCACCATAAATCACCAGCTGGGTTTATGAGGGATCCCCACAAGCAAATAACCTTATCACGGAATTCAGATTCATCCCCAACTCAGCTTGCTAGAACTTGCGCAAACGTCTCCTCAGACCCTTTCAGTCGCTTCAGGAAGGCAAAATCGGTCAACCTTCGGCTGGCTGTGGCTCCCGGCAGCACCTGCATGCCGACGGGCAGAGGGCTGGGCAGGGAGAGCCTCAGAAGGGAAAACCGGGTGTCTTCTGGGTCAGAGGCTTCCTAGGAACGAGGCATTCTTCCCAAAATCTAGGGTTAATTCCCCATTCTTTTCAGCCACGTTCTTTTCAAAAACCAGCCATTTCCCCATTCAAGGTTTTTGGTGGCTTTCTAGAAAGAAGGATCCCTGAAAAGAACGGGGAAGCTACCCCTAGAAAAAACGCTTCTGAAATATGTGACGGCTTCCAAAACATCCAGGAATGCCCTCCATTCTGCAGGTTCACAAAGAATTAACAAAAACAAATCGAACGAGCAATCTTATAAAAAATCGCCGTTGGAATCACTGCTTTCTGCGGGGGCCAAATGGGGCCGTTGGTTTCAGTGCCAATGGGGGGACGCAGAAAAGGGGAAACCACACATCTGCTGGTACAGGCTCAAAGAATTCCAACAACACAGAAAAACCCGGAACACGGTGGCCAAAGCCAAAGAGTGTCCGAAATGTCAAAGGGTAGGAACGCTGGAAACCTAAAAGGGAAGCCAAAGGAAGCGTCATAGTTGCAGGTGCCCGGAGCCGGCTGAAGCCATCTTGGAGGTTCTGGACAAGTACCAGTTCTTGTCAGGCAGTGGAAAAAGCTAAGCACGGCTCCTGGCTGAAAGAATGACCCCAGCAATTGTTTTTTGTTTGTTTGCCTGGTTAGTGGGACCCCACAAAAGGAAAGCATCAACAAAAAGAGGAGCTAGTTCTGGGGAAGGGCTATTGTGTCTGCGTTTGAGCAAGCTGTTGAGCAATCCTGTCGCCGTCCTGAGCCCATGCCACGCATCAGTCGACAAATCGAGTCGCCTTCCACGAGCAATTGCCCGCTGTGAAATTCAAAGCGTGAGTGCCGTTGGTGTTTCTAAAACTTGTGGTCTTTTGATTGTCTAGATTTTTTTCTTCATGAAACGCCATTCTCCCAACAAACCAACTGGCCCTGATCAAATGCCTTGCCTATGCATCGACCCCTGGACCCCTCCATGGGCCGGATTCTCAAATCGAGGTCGCCGCGATCGCTTGAAGCTGCGGACGCTCTGGCGCTGCTCAACTTGGGGCAGCTCTGACTCTCCCACCTGGCAAAGTGCTCTGTCTCTTGTCAGACTGGTTGCGCAGTGTCCAACATGCTTGCAATAAACTTGGGAACATGCAAAGATCAACATCCCCACTTCGAGTGGGTCCAAAAAGGGGAAACCGATAGGGACCAAAAGAGGAAACGTATCAACTTCATCCGGCCACCGAAAGTGGCCCAATAAAATACTCCGCTGCAGATTCGAGATACCCAAGAAAGGGGCTCATGAAACATCCAAATTCCTTACGCAAATCCTGTGGTTTCTTGGGATTCCAGGTTGATGTGGCGAGAACGGCAACCATCGGCTGGCGCACGTCTTCTCGCCAGCTGAAGCTGGCATCGAAGAGCTCTAAGACCTGCAGCCGGCACTCTCTTTTCAATGCTTGCTGCTGCGAGAGACGCTGGGAATGAGAAATGATCCCGATTTAAACCATCCAGCAGGTGGTTTCCTCTAGTCGGGAATCCCCAGGTTCATTCTGAGTGCCAGCAAGAATGCCTGGGGAAACGAAAGCTCAAAGGAAGCCATCCGATGTTGGGACACCCGTAAAGGCGTGGGTCAAATTCGGGTAACCCCACAATGGGTTGCCCTGGTATATGGAAACAAGGACTAACACCTCAGGTGGTTTAATTCTGACTCAGACCAATATGTTTTATCGGTTTCCTTAAGCAAGGGATCTTCACAGGGGAGCTAGGGATAATTTGCCCATATGGCATTTGGGTAGGAAATTTGACGCAAACGAATACCAGTGCCAGCAATCTACCACCAAGCTGTCAGAAAGGACACCTATATGACGTTGCCCTCCACTCCCGCCAGGCCCAAAGGCCGAAAAACATGAATTGGTCTCTCAGGAGATCGTTCAGGGCTGAGTGCCACCAACTTGCATCCTGTCTGACTGCTCGCTGGAGGGAACAATTCTGCCATACTTGCACAAATGCTGAACGATTGCTACATGACCAAACCAATGCACGATTCAAACCAATGGCTTTCCGCACCTGAAAACAAACTGATACAATCGGTTCGGAACAATACAACGGCATGCAGGTGTGTATGTACGCGATCGCTTCTGGGCCACCCCTGCGTTTCGGTGTTCCCTCTTCCATATTCACTTGTTTACTGTGGACTACTCGAGACGGACTCCAAGTGCCAATGTTCTGAGCAAAGATCTCAAATTGTGCGGCGCGTAAAATCACACAAAATGCTCGTTTTTTTTTTTGGGGGGGGGGGGCACATTCATCATATCATGCAGCGATCAAACAAAAGTCAGTCAACAAATGTCGTCCGTGTAAAGGCAGCTAGCAGCAGCCAAACTTCCTAGATACTGATAAATCAACGCTCAACTGGAACTTTAACTATTTTGGGCCTTCACCAAAATGATGAAGAAGCCCACTGAAAAAACAGTCTAATGCGGAAAGAGTCTTAGCGGCCCCGGGCCGGCCAAATTCACGCCGCCGCCCCCCCCCGCCCCCCGCCCATGTTGTTGCCGGGCGACTGGAGGCGCCATTGACTCGTCGTCTGCACCTGGCTTGGGCCATGCTCATCTCCGCGCGTCTTGGAGGTTGGAGCCCACAAATGGCTTTGGGTGTCCCTCTCGGCTTCCCTGAAAAAAACGGCCACACGAACAGAGGTACCCTAAAAAGGACACCCAAATCTGGCCGCAGGCTCCGGGGTGACAAGAACATGAGAGTCTACAGACACAGCAAAGGATCAGACGCAGTGCTTCCCATAAATGTGACAGTAGGTAACCAGGGAAAAATATGAACATCTTATGGTCAAAAACTCTGGAAACCTACCAATCGGCAACTAGAATGGGACAGGCTTTGATCTGACAATCTCCACGATTCCCTTGCTAGGGCTTACCTCGCGCCCTCAATCCGGATTGGGCCTCCCACTCGCCAAAATTCAGACTTTGAGATCAAGTGCGTTGCCCACAGCATCGCATAGCAACATGACCGATTCGACGAGCCTTGCCTGAGCTTGAGGAATCATCACCAAAGGAGTCTCCTGCGAAGACCATCGATCCAGTCAAACTTCCAGCCAAAGGTGCCAGGCTTCAGGGCGTTCCCCCCCTGCGTTGGAGTAAACACAACAAGAACCCAAAACACACATTGAAAGCAATTGGGCCACCTGTTAGCTTAACAAGAGGTCTCCGTTGAAAAAGCAAACCTGTCGTGCGCTTGTTCAGGGTTGTGGTGGTTTCCCCATGCAAGAATACCATCTGTGCTCCCCGGGCCGAAAACTGAAGAGATGAGACCTTTTTTTCGAGCAGTCCTCCAAGATCCTGGGAGCTTGAAAGTCTCAGGCAGGAATCGTACTTGCCCTGTGGCCCCGCGAACAGGATATTGGCTTTTCGGGCGAAACAGTGGAAACGCACCGGAGCCAAACCAGAAAGCGTCTGCCAACCGAACAATTAAGTGGCGAATGCAAAGTAACGGGCGTTGGCTTGGACGGCCTGAAAGGTCTGCAAAGCTACAAGTGCTTCACCGCCGCACAGGCATGTGGTCAAAAAGGAAGGCCACACACGACTTGGCCTCTTACTCCGCAGATTGCCACTTTCGCTTCATCCACAACTCTTGAAGAACAACATGTTGATGATTGCAAAAGGCAAAGCATCCAGGTTGGAAGAGTTGAGTCATGAAACAGCTGCACTTTGCACATTGCCCTCATACACTCATCACACGGAACAACGTGTGCCTCCTGTTCAAGTCTGTACAATCAGTACAATCACTGCTGAAAACATGGGAGGACATTCACGCAATATGCAAGAACCGCACATTCTGAACAACGACACTGTGCAAGTATGAAGGTGCACAACTATCAACATGCCCGCTATCAGCTCCAGTGGTTGCTTCCCAGACCTTCCCAAAGAAGGAGCAATAAGATCGTTCTGAGTGAACATAGGCAACGAATGATAGACGCGCGTCGTTTCCGGAAAAAAAAAGAAAAAAAACACTGCTTTGCTTCCCACCGAAACGGTCTGATACCAAACAGCTTCTCAAGAACTCAGGGACTACGACAATGTCATGGACCCCTATGCCTTGCACAAAACCAGACCAGCCGTCCAACCTATTCCGCCGGTCTCCTTGAGATGAAAGACGGGGCGCCGCGGATTTCCTGGAACGCGCGGTGTGCGGATCGAAGCTGGTCCCGAGCGCTTTGGACACTTCGTGCTGGTCCAAGAAACGGGCGTGTCGCGCTGCCAAGTGCGATGATTCCATGCATTCGTTGGATCATCATCTCAACAGTAACACTGGCACAAGGTGTACCACAGTGGGTAGGCAAATATAGGAAACTGCCAAAACCATGGCACAACAGCTGCATCCAACTGCTACTTGCCTTTTTAATCGAAGCAAACGTTTCCAAACGCTCGGACGAGGAGTGACAGCCAAGCAACCAGACGTCCTTGAAATGTAAGTGCAAATGCCAGAGAAGCCGTCGAAGGCATTGCCATCATGCACCGTGATCAATTCAGTACTTTCCGCCAGGTAACAGCTGGCATGTTCAAAGTCTTGCTTTAGGACAGACGCCTTGTTGATATAAACATCTGTCAGATGCCAATGACTTTGGTCCCACCTCCGCGCCGGTCGAGGATCTGTACTTGGCCTCGGATCGATGCGTGAGACTCTTTCAAGGCCTGGCTGAACCTGTCACGGACATATATATATATATATATATTATATAATATATATCCCAGCAAGGCTTCCGGTGTCAGCAAATATATCCACGAGCAAGGGCAATGTCAGATAATATATACCTGCCCCGCAAACACTTGCCGGCACTTACATCCATCTGAAACACGCAAGCATCAAACGAAAACAGGACTTGTTGAAAGGCCATCTTTTGTCAGATTCAGCTGGAAAGGGAACTCATACGCCACCAAACAACCGGGACCAATGTACAAGTCGCGAACAACACGTTTGCTCACTCAATGGACACAGCAAATCAGGACCGCCACACGCCCCGTCCCTCATTTGCACTTGAAATCATGTCCCCCTCCCATCCACTTCCAAGACTTACTGAAATGCCGGCAGGCTTTTACCCCCAAAGTCTGCCTCTTGTGCGATGGCAAAGCTTGCTTCGGAAGTTCAGAGGCATTTCTTCACGAGGCACATGGGGGTGGCTCGAAAATTTGATTTCCAGGGGACGACGGTCTTAGCCGATCTTTCCATTCACCAGGGTTGTTGGGGCAAACGATTTGGGAGCCATCCGGCCCACGGACCGTGGGGTCCGCACAAGTGTAGCGCCTGCATTGGCTTGGCCAGTGCGGGCGACAGCCGCGGCATCGGCCTGGTGGGTCGTCCTTTGGGAGTTGGCCACGGTGTCTGTGGCTTTGAAGGGAAACGGAAAGGAAAACCACCGTCTTTTGGGTGGTCCCCTAAAAAAGACACACCTATTTGTGGGTTGCAGCAAGCTCGAAGGGAGAACCTCAATGACCTCAGGCTGAGAAAAATAATGCGCAGTCTCCCACCTACGAGAGAGTGCGGATCACTTTCGGGAGGGGTCGAAGTTGCGCTAAGAAAATCTTAGAGCTGAAGTTGCTACAAGCTACCAGAATGACCATTGTTACCTCAGTTCCTCCTGGAACACATGCAAAACAACGGAAGTGATATAATTCCTTTAGAACCAACAGGGGACAATAAAACAATACACAATATTATTGAGCAAATGGAAGTAAGTCTGCAATCAAACATACACTCCCTGGAATTAAACAGGAAGTCCGTGCCCTCTAGCATAGAAGTCCCTCGACCGTCTTTTTCTGCGGAAATACCAGTCGTTTGTTGCTGCTGGGAATGTAGGACCACCTCCTAACATAGAAGTTACCTAGGGTACGACAATTTCACATTTTTTCAGGAACCCTGAATTCTTGAGGGAACAAGTTTCGAGGGTGCAGTTCCATGTAAAATTTAAAAAAAATGAGTGAAAACGCAAGTTCTGACCCACGAAAGAGTCCTGACATAGCACCTGAAAATAGGCCCTACACTTCCATGTAAAGGAGAACACGTGTGCTCAACGTGGAAGTGCAGTCTCGTCGTTTGCCCTGTTGTTTTTCGGGGGTCAATAGGGAAACTATGATTATGTTAGGAGCAGCTTCGCGTATCCCTGAGAAAAGTCGTGAACCAGCATTTCCCCGGTACGCTTAAAATTACGGTATGTCCGCCCGCTGATGCTAAAAATTGCAGTTTGCTACCAGTCGTTCGTCGTACCTAGATGGGGTTCTGGGCCAGTTCTGGAAGGGGTGTGCGGGGGAGTTCGGTTTGTGTTAGGGCCTGGGGGGCTAGGGTTATTGGGGGTTTCAGGGAGCCGGTACCCGAATCATCTTCGGAAGTCAGCTTCGTGTTCTGAAATGCGGAAGTCGACGAAAAACACCCCAGGGACTTCTATCCAAAACACTGGTTTTTTGACTAACATGCAAAACAAAAGCTTCTTGTTTAATTCCAGGGAGTGTAATTTCGAGTGGCATCCGGCAAGCTGCAGGGTTCGGCAACTTCGGCCATGAGCTCACCATCCGAGCCGTCATCTTGCACCAGGAACCTACCAACAAAGCACCCATTTCTTCAGTCGAGACTTCCGTTGCTTTGTTTATGGAGTGCCTTGCGAAAGAGGCATGGGCAAGGATGATCGAAATGAATGACTACGATCCACGCATTCCTTGCAACTTCCGATGATGGTGTCCTGAACCTTCACATTCCCGAAGGAGCCTTCATGCTGTGTGACAAACAAGCTGACTTGCACTGCAAGATTCCTGAAGAAGGAATACTGCAATATTGGGTGGAACACAAGCATTCCACATCTGAATATATCGGGTATTTGTTTTGTTCGTACCTGCTTTCCCTGTGAATATCCGAAAATGTGTGACTCGTTCCAAGTGGGGACGCTCCCGCCTGGCGCGCTGCTTAGGCTTGACAGGCCGGCCCTGACGAACCCAATGGATGGCGCTCGGGTGTTTGGTATCTGGCAAGTGTCTGGTCTGGTCGTCGTGGGACGCCAGGGGCCTGCGAGAACCGTCTTTCTAGCGGAGTCTAGCGCTTAGCTGATCAGTTTCCCTACAGCATCAACATTTGCGGCGGCCTCTCGTCCCACAACATTTTCCGGCAACATTGCACACATGTGCTTGGTGCTCTGTTGACGGTCCTAACGAAAAGTACTTCGACATGACTGGCTTCAAAGATGCATTGGCTCATACCAGGAACGAACGAACTCAGAGTGCCTGCTGACTGGCGCACTTCTTCCTTGGCTTTCATGCTCCCAAGCCCACAGCGCATGTGGGCTTGGAAATTGGCTGCATGAGTGCCCTTGAAAAATGCCAAGCCTCACAGCTCCAAAAAAGGGAGCCCGTGGTACAGGCTGAAGTACCCTGAAACCAGAAAAGACATACCATGGCTGGATCAAAAATAGGCGGTATGTATCCAAGATGGGCTGCCCTTGTAAATAGAAACATGGAAACTAAAATATGCGGTCCATATCCTGGTGGTTTAATTTTCACCCATGCCCACATGGAACCGCCATGATCTAAAGACCTTGGACCCTACCCCCACCCACACAGTGAAAAACTAACGGCAATCTAGATCCACCAACACTAAATAATGAAGCTTTCCAAACAGAAAACTGCTGCTGGGTGAGGGCAGTCTCTCTCCCTCCCTCTCAAGGGCCAAACAATTGGCGGAAGCAACTCGCTGCACGACGGAGGTCTGCGGTTGCTGGCCGTAGTACTGCATGAGTGGGATGTTTCTTGTAGACATTTCAAAAGCCCAAACATGAAACATGTTACATGAAAAGCGATCCAACATGCAAAATAATCAGTCGCCTGCTACACATTGCTGGCACTCCCCATGAGAACAGCGCCGACCTGCCCGGCATCTCTGGCCTTCACATCTTTGATATTGTTCCAGCATCAAGGATCAGACCAAATCGTGGATTTCCCATGGAGAAGGCTCAGGCACTTTTCCTGGTGGACTTTACTGGAAAACAACTCCCAAGGCAACAAAAGCATGTGTCTGGGATCGCACTTCAGACCTCCGCGCCTCGTGAGAGAGCCGCCTCCTTAGACATCACGAATGCGATGGGCCAAGCACGCCAGAGTGAAACTTTCAATGCGGGCAGACGAGTTGCAAGCAATTGCACGAATTGTCCCCGCTTGGGCACACCTAAATGAGTTTACGAATTGCCACGAATCTAAACTCCAAGATTCATTCTTATGTCTAGGCAAACATAGCCTGCTCATGCTCTCTCTATCCCTCTCTCTCTCTCTCTATCCCCCTCTCTCTCTGTCCCTCTCCGTATTTTTTGTTTCTCTCTCTCTCTCTCTCTCCCTCGCTCTCCGTCTCACTCTTCTCTCCCCAGAAGCTCAAAAAACAAGTCTAAGCAAGGGGAAAGCACAAGCCTTGCTTTCAAATGTCCATTCATCACCGTCGCACCCAAGATCCACCACTCTCTTTTGTCAACAAATCACACCCATGTTCCCACAGCAGTCCATGCTCTGGCCGGTTTTCACCCCCAGTGCTCAACAGCTGGGAACCAGGCTGCGGTGTGGGCTCCTCCAAAAGGATTTGTTCAAAACGTGACAAGGCCACCTGGCCAGAGCGCGCGCGTGTTCCAACCACCCGCCGGCTTCTTACCTGGTCAGGGCTCGCCTGGTTTTTTGCAGATGTTGTTCCCCCGCGTTTCCTCACCCATCGTTGAGCGGAAGCCTCCGAGGCGAACGAGAGGAAGCTGGGGCAAGATCCACAAAAGCACGCAACCTCCAAAGCCAAAGTGGTTGGAAACTGAAAAAGCTATGACTCCCAATTGGTGCCTCAACAGCTTCCTGCAGTAATCGGCCTCAAGAATCCTTAAGGCAGACTTGAAGCAACGAATTGCAACCTCACACACACATGGGCCCATTTGGGGTACCTATTCTTGACCCGCACCCACATGTTCCTTATCGACGACTCTCTCGAAGCGTTTCGGAATGGACCTGAGCGTGTGCCAGCGACGAGAAAAGCTCCGGCAGGGACGAAAGCGGTGCCTCAGCCCCATGTTGGCCGACAAGGAGGATCGAGACGCGCGTCTCGTTGGTCGAGCGAAATGCAGCAAATCAAACCAAGCTGCCCAACAAGAAGCCAACGGCTGCTAGGTCCTCCAGTAGAGAGGTTAGAATAAGGGTACCTTTTTTTCCTGTAGTCTATTTTAGTAGGGGCACCCTCCCCCAAAAAAAGGTAAAAGGGCACAAGCCGATGAGGTTGCCTTAGATTGACACAAGCCCGCGTCACTTCTGCCATGCGTTTGGCTCACGGCACAATTGGCTGGCCGAGCCAGTGTTTTGCGCTTTGGCGCTTCTGACTGCTTGAGATCCACACCTTTGACCGTTAAGATAAGCAAAGCATAAGTTTTGCGAAAGCAAACGGCATACCCAGCAAAAACCTAAACATATGACCTTTTTGTTCAGACCGAGCGTACTCCCGCTCTGACCCCCCGAATCCGCTCACGAGGCTGGCGCACGCATGGCATTGAAGAGAGCCAAGGCTGAAAAGACTGAGGACGCCCGGAGAAGACCGCCGGACAAAGTATAGACCTACAGTCAGTCGCACAGATTGCACGCCAGCCGTATGGGCACGTGATTTTTGGGGGATCCCAAAAACTGTGTCGTGCTGTTCCTGTTGGTTTCCCTTTGAAACCACAAGCAACGGGGTGCCCTCAAGAAAAATCACACCTATCCTTCTACAATGTGAGGAACCAAGAACTTCTTCCTGTACGCCTGATCAGTACGCCTGATCAACCCCTTTCATAAATGAAAGCCACGTTGCTGCCAATTGAAGGAACCGTCAGTTCGATGGAAGTATGTACAGGGCGTAGGCATAAGGTGGAATCGTATCCTCTTTCTCCTGCCAAATAAACAAAATATCCAGCTGCAGTCGTTTCTTGGATTCCAAAGATGCCGACCTTGGATGAGGCAAGGCTATCATCAATGTCCAGCAGGGAGTCCTTTGGATCAGCTTGCAATTTTCGCAATGCGCTGGGCGCGGACCAGTAGAACGAGATAAACTGATCTGGTCCGCGCGAGCTAGGGCGACCAACTAGCTTTCTAAAGCCACAAGCGCCTAGAACAAGTTTCAAAACCATGGATACGAGAACAAACACGCTGATCAGCATGCTGGGGTGGTAAAGCGAGGCCAACCAAACAGTGGCAATAAATAAGCGGAAAGGCCGCCACACTGTCTATAGAATGCGAAGGTTGGGGATCAGCGCAGAGCCCCAGCTTGCTCTCAATGGATCCAACATTTAGACAGGCCAGCTTTCTGAAAGGAGCAGTTGACACTGGGAATCACGTAAAAAAACACTGCCTGGAGAAAGAGGAAAGCAAGCTTTAACCCATCCGGACGTGTGACCTCCAAGCGTATGCGTCTCGAGCTAGACAACACGATTGCGACGCACCATGCGTATCAAGATGTTTGTTTTCCCAAATGTGCAGGCCCCAAAGGGGTGTTGCTTTGCATTTCAAGAAAGGTGTGGTTGGTTGAGACTGAAGGAGAACCCTCCCCAAAAAAAAACAGAATCGGGCGCCACTGGGCATTGCCTTCCTCTCAACACAACTGACAATTCAACAAGAGCAGCGCTCGAAGCCCATAGACGGTGCACTTAAAATCCACTATCGTCTCATCGCACCCAGAACAGGCCGAGCCGGGATTTGGGCCTTACGGAGACACCTAAACCCCAGGGAGTCGCTCGCCAAGGGGCAGTAAAAGTTGCGAGGCTCACGACGGTAGGAGCAATGGTGGCCAAGGTGGAAGAGAAGGCCTGGCAGGTTGAACTACCTGGACGTTGATTGGGCATATGATTGGGCCCTTTGGTGGACAGCATTGGGAATGGGATGTTTCCATTAAAATCATAGCCATTCGCTTCAGGCGCCAAACGAACTCATGTGTTCGTGATCACGTGGCCAACCCTTGGTTCTTCGGCTACGTTTCTTGTTCGTGGAGGTTTCCCAAAGGAATATGAAACATGATTGGATTGGCCAACCCTACATTTCCAACAGGTCAGACAGTTGAAACCAACTGGCACAGCACATCTTGATAATTTAAAGGTATGCTCCGGGCTGGAAGCCTGAGACAGGCTTGCTCCCCCCCCAAACAAAAACAAGTAGCGACACTTGAAAAGACACATAACCGCTTGTAAAGCAATCTCCGTATGAAGGAAAAACAATGATCAGTGGTGCTTCAGGATATCTGGTTCGGTCTGGCTCTCGGATCGCATGTTTTGCTTGAGCTATCCAGCTACCTCTGCAAGGCTGCGACTGTTTGCCCTTGGATGCTGCCCTGCTTTCCATCCTCATTCCTCCCTGCCCTGAGCAGGGGCAATTAAACAAGCCGCGACATTGAACAACCGCAGTCCAAAAGAGTACATACTGGATGTTAAGGGAAACCAAACAGCAAATAGTTTTAAGAAAGACCCATATGGGAGTTCCTGCAAGTGCCCTCAAGGGTGCAGTCAGGAGAGTCCATATTTCCATGATTCGCCCAAAAAGCCAGCAATGTGGCAAAGCTGAACAATAACTCCTCGGCAGAAGTAACAAACAAAAGTTTCAGCTGCGATCTTCAATGGAATGGGCTTTTTTAATAAGCTCAGCAGTTAAATCCCAGGGTCATTCTAAACCCTTGCAAACCAAAGCGCATCGTGGACGGATGTTTTGTGCCCTTTGAACATGCTATTCTGACATGGGTATGAAATTTAGTAAGGGAAATGTTTGGTGGACATCATTTAGGTGGGGATTCATGTCCACCAACCACTTTTGAGGTGGTTCCCTATCAAAATTCATGGCCACATGATCGTTTGGTAAAACAGTATCTTAGAGCGCGTTGGCTGGAACTCCTTCCTGCAAGCGAACAAAGCCATCCTTCACCCAAGCACCTGGTTGCATGCAAGCAGGCTTGGGCCAGTCACTAAAAAAGGGGGGGGGGGTTCTCCAATTTGCTTTCCTTTAAAATGCCCCCCCCCCTCCACATTTTTTTTTGGCGGGGGGGACTATTTAATTACTATTTTGCCCGAAACATTGCACCACTGGAAATACCTTGAAAGGTTGGTCTCACATGAGGTACCTTGTAACCTCCAACTGAAAACGGCTCAGAACCACCAATGGAAGTGGGGGTCGATCAATGTTCCTGACACCCAAATGACTATAAGATCAAACCATTTTCTCGTGGTTTTCCAACCAATGAATAGTCATCCCATGTTTTCCGACCCTTTGATGCAAGAGGGGGGGTTGTTGGGTTAGTGGGAAATTTCATCGCTTTTGGAGGACAGCATCCCCCTAGTAACAAGCTGGGGCTGACTAATAGGGGGTAACATATTTGTAGCCCCCCCCCCCCATTTTGTAGCCCCCTGTTATCCAATTTTTGTAGCCCTCTTTTTCCCACCCACCCGGCTTTCGGCTTTTTCGGGTCGAAAACAAGTCCTCCGGCCGCTCGAATCGTCTGCGCCTTGAGCACCGCCTCCCAGCGCAGCGCCGCCAGCTCCTTACCCCGAAACTCCTGGACCTCCTTGAAGCAAAGGGCCTGGCACTGGAAAAAGGCCGCGGGGGCCAACCACAAAATCTGCGCAGAACAAATCCGAGATCTTCCGAATCGATTCTCTTTTTATGGAAAAAATGGAAAAACTAAGCCCATTCAAATGGGCACCAACAGACGTGTGTGTGTGTGTTTCTTTTTGAAGAATAAACTGTGACATTGTTTCAGAGTGCCTGGCCAGCCAGTATGCATAATAAAATCATGCATGGGAGAACTATGGAGTTGCCGGATGGCAGCCTTTCCTAGTTCTTCATACGATTGTTCAGAACAGCTGAAACAGTAGAAACAGTAGTTTAGTAATTTGCCACCTTCTCTGACAATGTGGCAGAAACAACTTAGCCGTACTTCCATCTGACTCACCCTTGCGACTCTGAATCTTCAAAACTCTGTGTGTGTGTGTGTGTCACCCTCTTGACTCTTCTTGACACAGCGCCAAAGTTTAAAACAAAAAAATCAGATCCATCGCCTCCGCTCCCAGCTTCTCCAGCCTCCCAGCGCTGAAGCTTCAGAGCTGCCCTGGCCTGTCAAGCACCGGAAGCTACAGGCTCTCGATAGAGAAAAAACACCACGTATCGTGTCAAAGCATGTCAGAGGAAGATCTAGTGGGAGGGTTGAGCTGTATTCCCTTCACCCCCCAAATGGCCACGAAGAACTTTTCCCATGTGGGAAATGTATCCGTTTTGGTAGTTTTCCAACCAATGGTCATCCCATGTAAAGGATCTTTTGATCAACCCCCATGTCACGGAGCATCATGGACCGCCACCACAAACGCCGCTGCTGGGAATACTAATGCATTCTGCACATTTCCTTGAATAATGATAACATACGCATGAGCATAAAGAATGCACGATGTGTGTCATGTTCCATTGTGCTACCTCATTTTGTTTTTGCAGCTCCGTGGCAAATTGGCCTCTGGCATGTTCCACCGAAGGGAACAAAATGCCTGCATACCACGTCAATACTCCACCTAGAGATCAAGCCAGCAAAGTGCGCAACCCTGGACCAAATAGCAAGCTCCACGTTGGAAGCCGGTCTCTACAACGGCATAACCGGACAACAGTCGGGTAGAAAAGGGCATGAGTTGTGCAGACTGCAGCCTTGCAACAGAGTCTGGGTCTGACCTGTTGCTGCTCACTGACAATCTCTCCCTAATAGCTCCCGAAGCACTCCGAAGAGGTATTGACGGGGGGGGGGGGGAGGTGGAGTTGGGGGGGTAAAGGGGGGGGGGGTGCGACTTCATAACAGACAAGGGAATCATCTCCACACAATGTTGTCGTCGACAGTGGCTCGTTTAGACCATATCTCGAAGCGCTGGTCTAACGGAGCACATCAGAAGCACATGCAAAAGCACTCGAGTGCTCGGCAGTGTCTTGAGAATCTCCATGAGTTAAGAGCAAGTGCAAGGAGCGCTGGAGTGAAGGAATCTGGAAAAAGCAAGACATTATTTCTACATCTTCACAGGGATCTGACATGTCGAGATTGGCGTCAGACTCCTTACTGTGGATGGACGAAATCCTGCATCCCTTTCAAGCCATGCGAAATCGTTGTTGGTTGGTATTTACAGGGGAATCATCATGCCAGCGTTTCTTTGGTAAAGCAGGATTTGGTCCATCCAAAATAGGTGTGCGGCTGAGAAGGGAGGTTTTAAGATCACTTCCAACTTGACTGCCAAGGGGCCTGGTGAGGCTTCGAGCAAGGAACATGCAGCAAGGAAGCCTGAGAAAGCTTCCAAAGAAACGCAATGGGAACGAAGAGACACCACGGGGAAACACGGACGCCGCCCAAGTCGAGAACGGTTCGCAGGAAAATGGTGAGTGAACATACCGTGGATGGACGAAATCCTGCACCACTTGATTGTTTGTTGGTTTTTACCGGGGAATCATCGTTCCATGGTTTCCATTTGATTAACTCCCCTGGAAAAAACAAACAAACACAACATATTTCCAGTAGTGATAAATTCCCTTTAAAACCAACAGTCAAAAACAACACACACACACAAAAACAACTTAACCAAATGGAAGTACTTTCCAAGTAACGGACGCCGCAAACGTACGTCCGCCGGACAGCCCTCGCTCGCTCGCTCGCGCGCTCGCTCGCTCGGCGCCTGCAGAGCAGCGGAGCTGCGCCGCAGGCGGCGGTCAGCGCTCTGGGCGATGCGGGTCCGCTGCTGCGCCACCAAACTGCGCAGTGGGGAAGTGGCGCAGTGGCTCAAAGTTCCATTTGACTGTGGTGGTCAAAACCGTTTTGGGATCCCATTTTGGGGGTTTTCAGTGAATTCACCACCCATTTTAGAACCTATTTTAGTGGGGATTGGGATGTTCACTGGGGTTACAATTTGGATTTTGGCCCATGGCCATTTAGCCTGGGTTTGGAACCAGGGAATTCGGAAACCAGGTCAAAATTCACCCCTCCAAAAACCGCTGGTTTTAGTCCCTGGTTGCCACCTACACTGCACTAACTCCACCAGGCCCTGCCCTCGTGTCTGGGACACCCGGCTGCGAAATGCCAACTTGCGCAAGGAGCATCGCAAGCATGCAGCAAATGCCCGCCAGCACTGGTACACCCAGCTGCCGCCAAAGCATGAAGAGTGCCTGAAGCCAAATCGTTGCACATGCCGATCTGGGTGTGTGTGCTTGCTTTCAGGGGACACAAACACTGTGTTTCCTTTTGGTTTCCCTTTAAAACCAACAACAAAGGGGTACCACCAAGAAAGACGAGCCGTCCATATTGCGATGAGTCCCGATGTTGCCATTGCTTGGTTCCGCTTCCGAATGGGCTGAGACTACGTTGAAGCAACAAACTGATTCGAGGAAGTGGTGTCCAAAGCCATATTTATAGATATAGGTGTGTCTTTGTTGGGGGGAACCCAAGTTTCCGTATTTCAGCTGAAGTTCAACGACAGTGTTGAGCTGCACAAACAACCCCCCTTTTTTCCATAGAACCTGGCGGTTTCAGACTTAAATGCCATCTGGATCCTTTTATCGCAAAACCGGTCGGATTGCCCAGAGCTAAACCAACAAACTTATATATATATATATATATATATGGGTCTCTACCTGGACCTTCGTCCACCTGACCCAAAAAAAATAGTTTTCGCCTTGGACTGGATATTCGGGAAATCGTTGCACTTTTTGCCGCAAAAACCTGAAAAAAACACACACTATTGCACGCTTGCGGCCTTTGACAGATTAAAGGAAGCTTTGCAGTGGGTAAACAAACGACTTAATGCAGCCTGCGAGTTTGTCGAAACATGCAACGGCGGTCCAAAGTTGTGCGGTGCAGAAAAATCGTAACTCCGCAAATCAGCAGTTTCATCCCATGGTCTTCAGTGCTGCGAGGTGTATTTACTTTGTATGGCCAATGAGCGACTGGAAACGACGCAATTCGTATGTGTTTTTTTTGCCGAAATTGTAGCTAAAAACCACTGGAAGTCGGTAAATTGTAGGGGTCTCCTAACACACCCAGAAAATTCCCAGAGTTTCAAGGTCCAGGTAAGGATTTGGTGGCCGCCCCCGACTTTGTCTAGATCCATCTAACGGCTCGTCACTTGCTACACTTCAATTCGAAGTTTGAAAGGTCCCCAGCTGACACAGGCCAATTCACGCAGCAGTTCTGATTCGGTCGATTCGTCGCATGGTCGTTGTGAGGGGCGCAAAGGGCGACGGACAAGCATGACCCCCACTCATATGGCTTTGTTTGATCACCACTCCACCTCGTACAGTGCGGCAAATCCCTTTCTAATACCTTTGGTTGGCCAGTCAAGTAATTCCATAATGTTTACACTATTCTGCATGAAACAACTCGGCCCATAGGTTCGCAAGTTCTGTAGTGTTGGGACTCTCTGATCCTCCTTCGTATTCAACACGGGAAAGAACTCGGCAGCTGCATTGTTCGCTTTTTCCGCGGAGGGTGTCCTCACAAATCAAAACAATCTAGAACAACACGCGTATACAATTCGGGGCACTGAGTCCCACTGAGCGACCAGGATGAGTACATGAAAGGGGCTACTAGAAAAATTAGTATAGGAGCCACACGGCAAAACACCAGCACAGCACACACGGTCGCGTTTTGTCACATCAATGCGCGTAAAGTCACATTCCCGCATGGCCACGCGCGCGCAAAGTCAAACAGCGCACGTGAAGTCACATCACGCATCATGATTTTCATGCTGATCACCCTGGCCACGCGCTTCCACAGCAAACGCAGCGCTCTGCCGCAAAACTAGCCGTTTGAGCCCCACGCCGAGGTGAAAGCAGGTTTCTCAGCTAATATGCAGCGAAAAAGTGATGCCTTTTATGCGCTTCCCGGCTGGCCAGTTTACTGGTCATCAAGCTCAGCCAGCGGCGGGCTGGTCACATGCCCTGCTGTGCCCGCTGCTGCAGATGATGCCCTGCTGTTCAATGCAGCTGATGCCCTGCTGTGTGTGTACCCACCAGCCACGCTGCTTCGGCGGGACCCCGCTTCAGCGCAAACAGTTGGGCCGGTTGCCTCCAGGATGCTTTCCCCACTGGCCACGCTTTAGACAAGCCGATGCGACTTAAGTCTACCCCGTGTAGCAGAGCTAATGTGTCTGCGTATTCATATGGATAATATAATATCATATAAGATGATATAATATGACATAACATAAGATGTTATAATAGATTTATTAATGTTCACCTTGTGTCTTGGGAAAACTGGGTGAAATACAACTACATCTTGAGATGGGGTTTCAGGGAGTCTTAACAATTTGGATAAGTTTTCTGTCCGCACCTCCTTGTGAGAAAACTGACCACGTACTGACATTCACACAATGGTTTGCTCCGTAGAGCCCTCGGATGGGACATCCTCAGGCCCCACGCAATGCAGAGTTGGAGGGGAGCCGACCACAACCTCGACTCATGGGCAATGGCGAGTGGCCGAGTGGTCATGGGGGCTCGGGAGGGAGGGGAGGGGGAGGGAGCCCACATATTTCCTAAATAAGGCCTTACTAAGGGCTTAATAAGGGTTTATTTGGGCTAGCCCTATGAAGTGGAGATTCAATAGCCTTCATAAGGGATGCTGCCGTCATGCCTCAGGTTGGCTGACAGCTTCCCAACCGATTGTCTTGAATACAGCTCCCTGTTTGGAATGATTCTACTGAGCTTGTCCTTCTGCAAGTTTGGTCTTCCCCCCTCCCCTGTGAAAATAAGAATGGAGTTGGAGGGCATAGGCAACGACCGCTTCACTTTGCCGAAGAGGCAAACATATGATATTGATGTTACACAGCTTGCTTTAATGGGAATCACAGAAATATACAGGTGGAAGCGGTTTCATCTTTTCAGGCAAAAGCTCGGATAGATGTTAGAGGCTGACGAAACGATTCAGTGGCAGCTGTGGTAGATAAACAATTGCCTCCCTTCACACTTATAAATAAGACAGACTTTGGCCACTGATCTTTGGATTCTTCAACAGAGGGCAACTGGATCGGTTCGTTCTGGCACTTCGCCAACATGTTCGATGCACTGATCCCTTCCCCTAACAATAAACGCGGATCACCCCCTAATAATAAACACTCTCTGGGGACAAGACATATTTATCAACAGGGTCCTGTAGGGACAACCGGATTTCCTGTTCGGTCCTCGTCCAAATGGGCTCCCTCCTTCCTGGACACGAAACAACTCAAAACCGCAACTTTCCGAGTAACGAATCTAAATAAAACCGTTCAAGAAACGAGTAACGAGTACTTAGAATTACAACTCAAGGAACAGATGTAAATTAGTACAAGGTACTTATGCATTTAGAGTTTGGTATTTGATTGGTGCAAGGAGCTCTCTAATAAGCTGGGGCTGGTCTGGGCGGAGACATCGGACAGTTGAGTATTGGTTTTGAAATGGGCTATTCTAAAACTAGTATTGGGGGACCCAGCCGTTTCAGCCAGTCTGGAAAGACAGTATTTATTTATAGGGTCCAATTTTTAAAAGGGGTAAGGGATTCTGTTGGACTCCCCTCATCTCAGTCCACAAAATGAACGGAATGCAATCAACCCGCAAGCTGAAAACCTGAGCGCCATGACATGTTGATGCATCCACAGGCAGCGCTGACCCGAGTAGAGTCAGACCTGAGCAAGCGCTGTTACTGGCATCCACGTGCAGCATGGTTTCTCTTGTGGCCCCGGTTCAAGTTTGCTTGTGGGGCTTGCCTACTCGCATCTCATGTGTTGGAACCCATGTAACTACAAGGACAAATCGCAAACAACGTGACAGACATCGAGCTGGCACAAGCTCCATGATGCGGGGGCCGCTGCGACTTCAACACCGACCAAGTTAGCCTCTCGTTTTTCAGTGGTATCTGGTCCCTGTCACATGACTGTGGGTCAAAACAAGGCACCCAAAATGGAGCCCTGGCAAATGGAAACATGGACTAAACCTGCGGTCCAACTCCTAGTGGTTTCATTTTGACCCACACCATGAAGAACCAACCCATTGCCAATTCTTTCGATCGGTGATCCATCAATGAACCACTAGGATCCCTATGCATTTTGCCGATGCTCTGACTCAGCTCTCCGAAACCCTTCGGCGCGGGGCGATAGGATGTTGCACAGCTGTCCGCCATCTACATGGCGGCCCAACTCGAAGTGTAGCCTGCGGACAGTTGGATGGACGTCCTTGTGGGCTCAAAAGAAAGCACCCATGTTGTTTTTTCTTCCTTTTGGGGGGGGGGAGACTTTGCAAATGGGAAACCTCCAAAACTTCACTTCTCCATCTCCTTCTGGTTTCCTTTGCGGGGCACGAAGAATCAGTCGATTTATGTTGCATGTAATGAGAAACTCTGCTTTTTGGTCCATGCCGTTCATGCAATTTGTGCCGTCTACAAAGAATGCTTGTTGGCGGCATCTAGTCCGTAGAACAGCTCTGGCCAGAATATCAACCTCATTGGCCTTTCATGCGACCCCACCCCCCATCTTTTCAGGCTTGACAGAATAGTCTGCTCACTCAATGCAGGTCACCTTTAAGGAGTGGAACGCAGGATGTACATTTGAGGTTGCTGGGGTAGAGGGTGCTTCGAGACTCATGAACCTCGTGAGCATCTCACCCTAGTAAACAATCCCATAGCATGAAGGCCTAAAACATTGTCATCCCCATGTCCAAGCGATATCTCTTTGTTCTGCCCTGTGGCATTTCCTGCTTTGGGGCACCAGTGCCGAATATTCAACACCAGCCTTGCCCTACTTCTTCTGATGGATAATACGGAAGGACTACTGCCTTTGCACTGGTGGGTTCTGCGTGGTGTATCTCCAGGCACACTAGAGACCCGCACGCACTAGATCACAAGTCATGCTGCAGGATTGTACTTGCAGCCATGCAAACAAGGTCAGGACTTACTCGGCCAGGACTGTCTTGCATAAAATTCAAGCAGCCAACGCTGCCAGTGCAACATATCCTATCCAACGCTGCGTTCACTGAGCTCAAGCTTTAAAACCATTTCGCACAGGCCCTCTTGACATCGCCAACGATTGATACCAGGCGTTAACACCACAAATTTGACAGCCTCGAAGGCATGCATTAAAGCCAGCTAGAGGAAATTCTGCAGGAACTTCTGGATTTTAAGGTGGATCATTGGCCAAATTCCTGCCAACATTCTCCTTCGCTGGCTTCTATGAACCAAAGGCTGGCCCCGACACCGGTCGCACGACCCCACGACTGCAGACGGCGACTACGTGCCGCGCGTGCGCCGGAAGAGGGCTGCGATGAGAGCCGCCCGCACAGTCGCGCCTGGCCATTGGAGAGGTACGGAACTGGGATCCCCCGTTGCTTGTGCATACATAAATACCTAATATGTATATATATATATATACACTTAATACTATATATATATATATATATATATCTGGGCTGCCCTCAGATCCCCCGCTAAAAGTTTGACTTTTAGTGGGTTAAATGGAAACTACCACTAAACACTGAAAGGCTACAAAGCTAAGGGGATGGCTGGGAGAAAATATATATGTATATATATGTTTGCATGTGCCTGTGTATGTGTACATGTATGTGTATGCAAATAGACCTATACCCCAGTAGAGCCAGTTGAACCAATGGTTTGCTGAGCACTTGTCGAATTTCAACACTGTGCATATTTATTCAGAAACCGTCACCAAAGCGGCCTTTCCAGAAGTGTCTGTTGCCTTCAGTGAGAAACGATGAGCCATGAACAACATCATATAGACGATATAGAGGCAAACCAATAATCCCAGTAAGGCGATTTCAACAGAATCATGATAGCCCATTCAGCAGAACAGTCAGTAAATTACTCAGATAGAAGAACTACGCGTCAAAAAGACTCCTTCAGAAGGATTATCGAGTTCAAATAACGCAACAAAAAATAGCAGCCTTGCCATTGAAATCAGACAGGAAGTTGAGGCAGCACATCATCTTGTACTCTGCTTGCCACGCTCAACTGCAAATTCTATAACCTAATCTGGTGAGAAGAAGGTACTCTGAGTCACTGCTGCTTATGTGCGGTTGCCCAAGCCTGCTCAGGATTTGTTTTGCTAGCTCGGAAATTATTTTGGCGAGTGACCGCTTTCTGGGCTACTTCAAAATAGAACCTTGACACATCTGACTTTCCCTCCGGGTAATCCCAGGCTCAACAAGTGAACACGGGCGATTCCTTCCCAAACCGTGGCCGGCAGTCCCGCAGAATCATCGGCTGTGTCTCTGCTACGAGCTGATGTGTTTGTCGGGCTGGTGCTGACTATATTTACCTGCTGCTGCATGCTCTAAGAAAGAAAACACGCCACACTCAAGCTGTCGATAGCCCAATGCAGCTCGTGAACCAAGACTCGTTTTGCTTTGCGTTATTGAAAGCTGAACGAGTTGCAGCTGCTAAGTTCACTGGTTCGTTGCGCTCATCTATGCTTGTCTGCGGCCTCTTCTGTAGTGTGTCTAGTCGTTTGAAGATGTCCTGGTCATGAACGGGCCACATTGCAGAGCATCAAAAGATCGTGTTTGCAGCTGCTGTCGTCGGGCAATTTCTACAGTGCCTCGGTCGTTGGCATGTTGAGGCGTCCATGTGCAGTCCGTCGAGAGGTATAGTCTGGCCACCAGGGGTGAGAGGCAGGAGGATAAAACAAAGGAGGATGCTTGAGCGGGTGATGCCTTCAAACATCCACCAGCTTCAAACCTGGGTGGAAAACAATTACGTTCAACGGCAACCGGCAGAGTCTGGATTGATTGACCGGCGGTCGATCGGCAAGCACATCGGATCAAACCTGCCAGCCGCACCAAGGCGTAAGGAGTGCCAGAAGTACTGATTCACCAAGATCGCCTGAACAAATTCTCGGGCGGACCCATGATCAATCAACCCAATCTCTCTCTATATATATACACATAATTTCTGCATCTCAGATCAATCAACCCAACTCATATTGTGGACGAAATCCATTTCGCACCAGCTAAGAAACCCTGGAATTATGATTCCCCTGCAAATACCAACAAACAATGGTTTCCCAGGGTGTGCAATTGGCGCCGGAAATCGTCCATCCACAGTATGTTAGAAGAACCAACATCATGTTGTTGCCCGCGAATTGGTGAACAAAGCCGGCTTCAATCCTGTGTGCCCAGTACAGTGACAAGCAATGACTGGAGCACTTTGGCGGTGTACTCCACATCTACGGCACTGTCCCAAAGCAATGCCAGGCTTTTCATGTGCTTCAGTCGCATGGATTTAGGGGAAGCCTTGCCGTGGGTATCTCGGTTGATCAGTGGCATGGATTGATATCATGGATTGATGGCATGCCATCGCATAATGCAGGATTCTCCTCCTTTTGCAGGATCTCGACCAACTGTCGAAGCAGCAATCGTGGAAGCCTCATTGGTGCTACTTTGATATGTAGGCACAAACATGGAACTGCAGTCGGAACGAGCTTTGACTGACCAGCGCAAGATAGACGTTGGTTCAGTTTTGGCATGGCTCTCCTGAGTTGGGTGTCAGTTGTATCCCCAAGGTAGCTGGGAATCGTTGCGATGGCCTAAGCACTTTGACTCTGAGTGAGCAATAATCTTGACCATGGCACATCCTCAGACTTGAGCAACAGCAGCCTGAGCAGTACCCCAATTACTGGAGGAACCCTCCTACACATCCCGGACGGACATTTTGGAAGAAATAGTCAAATCTTGGTATGGTACAACTGCCAACACGGAAAGAACCAAAAGAAACAACAAACAGCCAAACAGCTCTAATACTCTAGGGGACACTTCCCCATTCTTTCCAGGGATCCTTCTTTCTAGAAAACCATCAGAACCACAGGGGAAACAGCTGGTTTTTGAAAAGAACGATGGTTGAAAAGAACGGGGAATGAACCCCTAGAAATACCACCAAACAATTCCAAAACACAGCAATGAACATCAGCTTACCCGCGGCGTCAAAGGACCGGATCAGAAAACCCCCGCCTGAGCGATGGTCGAGAAGGGCAGCAGCAAGGCCAAGAGCAGCGCCTCTTTGGAGGCCGTCGCCTATGGCATCTGCAACTGCAGAAGTTTGGGTCAGCTGCCCCCTGGATGGGTGGTTTGTATGGGTGGATTGGTTTGGATTGGCTTGGATTTCTTGCTAGGTTTGGATTGGTGGAGGGGTGGTTTGGTGGTTAAGGAGGGGGGAAACCGCTTACTCTCTACAGAAGCAAGGGGTTCAAAAATCCAAATACATTACAAGCCACCAATTCAAACCACAAACTAAGGGCTGCCTGAGAAGCTTAAAAACGTCCCTGAAGAAACAACGTCCCGTGGGCGGAAAGGGTAGCCGAAATGGAACAGTTCCTTGAAACCAAAACAACTGAACCGTGAGTGGGAAAGGGTTCACCGTTTGTTTCCTACATGGACGTGGACAATTACCCTCCCAAACATGAAACCAGGCCCCATGGAAGAGAAGCCTCAAGGAACCGTAAATCAGGTTCTATGTCGTTGCTTCTGTATTGTGTGTTCCACCTGTCGGACGACTCCCAAATGCAGTCTCGTGCCGATTTTCTCTCAGCATTCAGCCGGCTCTTACAGCTGCGAAAAAGCGCGGGGGGGTGGGGGGTGGGGGTAAGAACTTCTTCTTGCGCCCTCCTGTCACACCGAGCCCTGGTCGTACGAAATGGAACAGAGCTGAATCACGTGAACTAATTCATGATCTTGCACATGGTTGCACTTTTCTCTGTGATATCCTTTGAGGGCTTTCGAGGTCAGCCGAGGTACGAGTTGCTCGACTATGGACAGATGCCAGCTGAGACCGCATTTCTTCGCCGAACATCAGCCTCATGTATTTGGGACAGGAACCACACGCCATACGACAACTCGACCATTGATGCATCAAGATCGTGAACCAACTTGCTTGGGGGACCTTCGGAACGCTCGTTCAGGCTTCAGTGCACAGCACTGTGGTCCTGCTCCCAGGTAGCATGACGTTTGCTTGTTTGATCTAAGCAGTGGGTTCTGTGAAGCGACATTGTCATCCCCTATCCTGAAGCTGGTGTCTCTGAAACCGATGGATGACGTCACGCAACTACGGCTGCCGTTCGTTTGCGACTGGCTGAAGCTCATCTGCCGCCTGCGTGCGTGTTCAGGCGGTCGCGCACAGCACGTGGTAACAATACTGGTGGTGAACACCGACCTTCCAAGTCCAGGACCAACTCTCACAAATTCCTGTAAGACAAGGAAGCGCGTGAGCCAACTCAATGATTGCACCAAAACCGCTGTCTCTCAGTTTGAGCCACACTTGGCAAACAATGCGTAGCTAGAATCTGGGGAATCATCTTCAACTATTGTGAGTTTCAGGTCTCGAACATTGAATAGCCTAATACAAAGAATGATACTTGGAAGGTTCGGACATGGTCATTGGATTGCCCAACTGCGAGGAGCAGCGGCGCGCCAGATTCTTGCAGCCAAATTCTAAAGCAAAAGTCTTGGCGGCTGCGCCTCGAGTTCTCGATTGAATCGGAGAGGGCACATGGCAATGGGTCCCGCAAATGTACAGCTCTTACAGTTTTGCAAGAGCTGTCAAGTTGACGGGGTAGCTGAAGGCCACGCCTTCCAAAGCGGAATGCCGCTACGTTCAAACAGCAGATCTCGTGCCCTGATAGCTTCATCTAATGGCTGTCGCCTTTGTCTCTCTGGCAACTCCGCGAGATATCCAGAGAATTGGCGCTTTGAAAAGATTCGCACCAAATTATGATGCATATGCTGGGAATGCCTGCTTAAAGAAGCCTCTTAGAGGCATTTGCTATGGCACACATGAGCTCACCACGTTGTCCACGCACTCACCTGAGGTGACGCAAATGACAAACAGCTGTAACCTTGAACAGTTCAATCTGCCAGCTTTCCCTCAGCAATGTTCTATTTAAGCTATGCAACTCATCTAGGCATTCAAAGAGTAGCTCAACTCAAGTTCTGCCCGTCACAAGGCCTGGCCTTGGCAAGGTGCGCTCGAAGCTCCAAGCTCTCCACTGGAATTTCTGGGTAACCGTCTTTTGCTCGAAAGGAAATCACCAAAATTCCGCAGGCTTCGCCCTGACATGCTCGTGAACAGAAAACTCGGGTGAGGAACGGCCTGTTGGCTCACTGCCACGGCTCGGATATTGAGTGGTTGGCTCGTGCTTCATGGTTCAACTTAGGCCCTGCCCTGTCCATTAAAATTGCCGTTTTGTCCTTACCAAAACCTCCTTCAGCTCTGCGCAGGAACTTTGATCAAGGCCCAACGTAGTATAAACCACGGAAATGTGGAATCCGTTCACAGGCCATGTTGCAACACCTTTCAAAAGCATGCAGTCACCTGATAGGTTGCTTCTCCAAAACAAATACATCCATTTGAGCAAAGCCGCGTGATGCTGACCAATGCAGATTCCCAGCTTGCTTTTTTGTTCTCTCCAACTAGTCCTTCGGCTGCTTGCAGAAGGCGTGGTATCCTCTCACCTAGCGACTCAGCTTGCTTGCGCGGCGATCTTGTCTTCGAGGTTGCCCAGGTCTGTTGTCAAGTGTTATGCACGCTAGTTTGGCCAAAGCAAATGCAAACTGACCGTTGTCAAGCTGTCTACACATCTCAACATGTCCAAGGGCGACAATATTGACACTATGCAGGTAAATTGGTGATTTAGCAGCAGGGACCCTCATGCCAACACCAAGCGGAATTTGTGAGGCCAAAAGCAAATGCACGAAGAAAGTAAGGAGCCGGGACCCGTTCTCCACTTGGAGCGACACAATCATGCCTTGCCGGCCCCTTGTCACACAAATGGAAAGGTGCTACCAGGAGAGCTTATGCACCAGTTGCCCGTCTGATAGCTTCGAAACAGTGGTTAAGTGCACTATACGTCGTTGCCGTGGCCACATAATACACAGAGGAAAAGCAGGCAGCAGGCAACCGCGCGCGGACTTGTTTCGCGCGTTTCGATCCCATGTTCGGTCATCAGGAAGAGGAACTTGAGGAGTAGGAACCAAACAGGGTCCACTTTTGACTAGCCCAAGATAGACTTAAACTCATGGGGTCTCCTTTTGGGGGAATAAACAACCCCTGGGTTTAAGTCCACCCTGATCTACCCTGGGTATTAGTTAAAAAGTGGAACCCTGAAACCAAAGACAGGGTGTTCAATGATCGGTTTGAACATCGGTTCGGGGCCCGTAAGTTTCCCCTCCAGAGCCGTGATTTAGCCACCATTGCCTCGTATAGCTTCTCAACGCAGGGTGCAGCTCACAAGAACGAACACTCTTCGGACCAACTGCGTCTTTCTGGCTTGCTCGGCATCGGTTTTACAATGGTTTGGGCACTGCAAAACGCCCCGTTCATAACGCAAAGGCGCGGGTCAACCCACTGGGTACTGTTGTCCAACTATCCAAAAAAAAAGCCCACGTCGTGATACATCCACATGTCGGGACGTATGATTACATGGGTCCTCTCCAAGTTAGTTGTGACTCTGCTATAGCATACTAATATCTGTGACTTGCTTAGAGCAAACGTCTCCTGCCTGCGTTCAAGGGTTCCCTTCCCTGTTTTCCTGTATTTTCCGGCCCTTTGCAAATTAGCCGGTGCAGTGGCCTGGAACCCCCGTTCCCACCCAGCACCGTCAGGGAATGGGCGGGAAGGGAGATGAGGCAAGTACAGTACACGCCCCCTTGGCCAACTTTTAATTTAGGCATGAGTAATCCCTCCTGGACTGGAAACCGTCGCAAAGGATGTTCCTGCAGACTCCCGTTCCCAAAAACGAGGCATTATTTCCAGCAAAATGGCAAACATGGAAGTTGTTGACGGATAGTTGGATCCGCGTATCACTCAAGTCTCAACAAAAGCAAACAGACCGAAAGCCATGCCTGACAGCAACCTGAGGCATGTCCGTGTACAACATGGACTGCACGACAAGTTCACTCGAAGACAAGCGACTAGGCTAAATTTATTGAAGAATCGAAGATAGGTACAAGCAGCCACAACGACTGCTCGAATGTGAAGGTTGCCTGGGAGTCCACATACCACATCCATGTTTGCATTGTGGCCAACGGGGTACTGTACCCCTCAAACTGACTTTGGACGGCGGGTTTCTTCAGCAAAATGGGAGTGGCTCAAACTTAAAAAGCGGGTTTACGCAGGTTTTAGTCTTTGTTTCCATTTACGACGGGACCATTTTGGTACATCTTTTTGAGCCAGTGCCACATAAAGGCTTTCGTCGTTCTAGTTGCGCTAAACACGAAGGACCTGATCCTGCAGCCAAGCCACCGCATCCACTCAGGACCTTGTAGGCCTTCCCCCCCCCCATCCAACCCCGCCCGAGAAAGAGCCAAGGAATGTTGACTGTTCATGGCGGGTTGCTGGATTGCTACATCTGCAAACTCCGCTTCTACAGCCTGCATGGGTCCAAGTAGAGGGCCTACAGCATGGCGCGTACCCCAAGCTAAGTTCGCCATAAAAAAGGCAAACACAATGAGGTAAGGCATGGTTGGCCACCATGGCCGTGAATGCTGCACCACGATTCAAGAAGCAGCATTTCAGCTATCAAAAAAAGAGAGACCCAATTCTCAGTTGCCCAAAGGGCGGACCCAGAAACAAAAGGTCCACCTTTTGGGTTAGGATTAAGCAGCTTGAGCAAATATCGGAACGAACAGGTCCAAAGGTTGGCTTTGGGCAAGTGAGTTTCTGGACCCCCTCCCGCTGGCAATGGGCGAAGCAATGGCCAGCACTTGAAGAAAGCTGCCCCAACGTCAAAAGCACAAAACAAAGGCACGATGCTCCTTGTCCAACACCCCCTTGCCACAAAAACAGTCTGCTTGTAAGTGAGATGGACATGTGCCTCTCCAACATTTGCCAACATGGTCCATAGATCAAAAGGGAACCTTTTGTCATTAATAGTGCATGAAAACTCCCACTACCTGCTGATGCTTTGTCTGTGTACCTTCCTGCAGCAAACAAGCAAGCTCCCTGGCAACTGTGCTAAAGTCTCTTAATGCTTCCCCTTCGGCAACACCTTCCGCAGCGCTCCTTGCAACGGGGAACTTTG